TTACTGTTAAGCAAGATTAATTTTTATAGAATAACGATTATAAGACGTTCAGCAGATTTTGAACTTCTTGATATTGATTATGAAATACAATCAGACACAATTCAATCAAATATAAGTAAGTCGAGTAAAAATATATTGACAATTTATTTATTTAATGAATATTAAATAGATAAAACGTTAAAATCAAATGTTACAATAACATCACGTCAGAATATGGAAAAAAATGAAACACTTATAAGTGAAATTCCTATAAAACGAATTGATGGAACATTACATCGATTTCGTTTTCAAGTAGAAAATTAATTTTAAATTAATATTTTATTGTCTCTTTTCTTTTTGTTTAGTTTCAAGTTATAGTTAAACGTAAACCTGAAGAAGGTTTATATAATTTTTATTTTCATAATTGTTTTAATAAGACGGATACTCAATTAAATCAAAGATCATTAAATATTAATTTAACTGTCAGTTGAATTGTTTTTCTTTGTTTTGTTTTGTTGTTTTTTTTACAAATCATTTTATATTTAGGCTTTATTAATCGAAAAAAATCTTGATAATTATTTATCAGCTGGAGAAATACCATTACCTGTACTTTATTTTACTTGGGCTGTTATTTATTTTCTTTCGGGATTTTATTGGATATTTGTTTTAAAAACATCAAAGTAAGAAATATTCAGTAGTTCGTAAAGCATTGCAGTATTTCTTTTTTTTTTTATTATTTATCAAAATATTACACTTAAAACTTTCTAAAAATATTCTATATCTTATTTAACCTGATGAATCTCTTCGTTTTTTTTTTCGTATCAGATGCAATCATGCGGTAAAATCAAGTATAAAATGTTAAATTGAACGAGTTTCAATCAGACAAAGCCAGTGACTGACAATTTTTGAGGATGAGTGCGCAGAAATAGTTTAAAAATCATTTTTAACTTCACTGTTACATGTAAGGCTTCGAAATACTCTACTAAAACTCAATTTTCAAAAATACATCTGTCTTCGTGTAAGCTTTTTCTCTGAGTGGCTCTTAGACATTTTTGTTTAGAAAATAGTCCAGCTTTTCATTTCGTATTGGTTGTGTACTTCTTATTTCAACAGGCAATTGTTTTATTGATAACTATTTCTGAAAAGTTAGATTGTATTATTTTACCTTCGAGATATCGACTTATGGCTGAAGACACCAGAAGTGATCGAGACAGTATTTTCGTTGGTTTTTCAATTGGTTTCGTACTTATTTTATTTTTACAGTTGTTGGGATATTTTGATTTGCATTCTAATATATGAGATATATGATCCATTTTGGAAATTATTTCAGAATTAATTTAGTCTGATAGACAAGATGCACTGTTTACAATACATAATGTATATTTTTCTTTCTTGATTTTAGACATCCGGTGTACAAAATTCATTATCTTATGTTATTTCTTGTCCTTACTAAAGCTTTATCACTTATTTTTCATGGAGTATATTATAATCTTTAAAGAAAAGTATTAAAATATGATTTTTATTTAGATTAATCACCATTATATAGCAAGTAATGGACGACATGAAGAAGCATGGGCTATTCTTTTTTATATAACTCATGTGTAAGTCAAATAACTATAATTGAAAAAAAAGAAAAGAAATTATAAGAATGTATTATCTATTGAAAAATTCTATTCGAAACAAAAGAAATTGTCGACATGAACAGATCTATGGCAAAATTATCATAATGATCGAGATCCTTTCAGATGTTGAACTTTTCAGAGGTCTTTCAGTACGGTTGCATAAATTGAAACTAAGGTTTTGAAAGAAATGAACTAGATAATTTCATCATTCTCTGAACTTTAGTCTGTTAAGAACTTGATCTACTTTCATTCATGTATACAAAGTGACCATCAAAATTATTCAACAAGTTGCAAATGCAATGTTTTGGTCTTGCAGTAGATGCTATAAACAATCTAAAAAGGGATTTGAATTGATAAGTGTTTCCAATAAAAGCTACGTGCGCATTAAATTTATTGGTATATCTTCAAAATTAAAAATTTCTAGAGAATCAAAAGTCTTAGTTGTCAGCACCAAGAGTCCGACAATAAAATTTTCTTTGAAAACAGAGAATGATGAAGCGGAACATTCCCAGCACAGTGAGACATTTGGAAGCTTTGCAAAATCTTATTTTACTGAGCTACCTCAAATTTACAGAAGGCCCAATAAAACGTTTTTTATGTTTTTCTTATTGGAAGTATTACGAGAAATGCGTTGTTTAGATCTCCTGTAAATTTGGTGTAGCGCAGCGAAGAAATGATGTGCGCTGCTCGCGAGTGTCTCATTGTGCGAAGAATATACTGCTTTATCACCCACTCCTGTCAAAAGAAACGTTTATCATTGGGCGGCCCTGGGTTCTGAAAATCTAGGCTTTTGGTTTTCTAGAAAACCAAAGTGTTCGGAATTTACTGAGGAATTAAATAGTTTCGTAGCTTTATTGAAAACAGCTTTCTCCATTAAAATCATTGCTTGGATTGTTTATAATATTTACTATAAGAGTAAGAAATCAAATATACGCCTGGTCGAATAATTTTGACGGCCGCTGTGTATAATCAATCAGCAAAAACCGAAGAAACAATAATTATTTTTATGTGTAATAGGATAGGCAATAGCATAAATTTAAAAGCAATCGATGAAATCAAGATGAACTATATTACAGTTTGATGCGTTAGCGATATCTACTCAAGAAAGAAGAAAAAATATCCGAGTTAATATAATCGAAAGCAAACATCTGAGAAGCTCGTTGACCAACTATCTGTCATTCTTAATTCACTTTTCTGTTTTTTTTCTAGTTTACGTGGCCTTCTTTTAATTGTTGCAATATTACTTGTTGGTACTGGATTTACATTTATTAAACATGTTCTTTCAGACCGTGAAAGAAAATTATTTATTATTGCTATACCACTTCAAGTATATATATATATGTAGATTATTTATATGACTTCGAATAAATGGTTTTTTATTTAAGATATTAGCTGTTGTTGCTCAAATATTTTTAGAAGAAAAGGAAGAAAGTGATCCAGTTTACATAACATGGAAACAAATATGTTTTATTGTTGATCTTTTATGTTGTGGTGCCATTATATTTCCAATTGTTTGGTGATATTAAAAGAATAGATTTTAATAGATAAAAGACAAATATATTTTTCATTATTACAGGTCAATAAGACATTTAGAACAATCAGCTAAAACAGATGGAAAAGTTTTGAGTAGTTTAAGTAAATTGAAAATCTTTCGACAATTTTATGTTATGGTTAGTTTCGCTGATTTATATTTCGATTTTATAAAATATCTATTCTTGTTATTATTATTTTAGATTGTCTTTTACATCTATTTAACTCGAATTGTTGTTTACATAGTAAAATTAACAGTTCCATTTCGTTTCGAATGGCTTGAAGTTATTTTTTTTGAATTAACAACATTCATATTTTTTATATTTACAGCTTATAAATTTCAACCAGCTATTAATAATCCATATTTAGCTTTATCACAAGATTCAGACGATGATATCGATGGTGAAATGGATATACCATTAACACAAAATCCAGTTTTTGAACAAGTTACAAAAGTTAATCAAAAGCCTAAAAAGAATTCAACAAAATTATCAACAAAAGACCCTAGTGATTTAATAACACCAGATGAAGATGATGAAGATGGTTATCATCATATTCGTCTGAGTACGTCCCATGTCTAAGTGTCTTCTACTTCTACTTCTTCTTATTTTTTTTGTCTTGTGTACTTTTACATATGAGTTGAAGTTTTTTTTTGTATTCTGAACGTTAAAATCAAGAAACAACTAAATGCTGTACACTCATTAAACTAAGCATTTGTTTGTCTGATTAGTTCGAAGTCAAAGATTTCGAATTTCACGTACTCTTTATGAGCACAGGTTGTAATTAATTCCATATTTGCCATGCAAAAAGAAATCAACGAGATTCAAAACTTATTTTCACGTTTCGTTCTATTTGCAGAAAATTAACAACTATACGTTTGCGATTATGAATAAAAAGTCTTTCATTGCTCAAGAAACTAGAAAGGAAAACTTGATTGAATAGATAAAAAATGAAATAATAACACAAAGGCATATATAGCACTGAGAATTAGTGAAATCAAACAAAGCATAGAAGATGGTCAGATAGACAGACAAAAATTAATTCTATCATTATCAAAAGAATGACAATAGAATTCAACATCTTTATTCTGTTTGATTTGAGTAATTTCTTCATCAGCTATCTTCATGGTAGACATTAAAAGATGATTCTCTCTGAAATAATAGTTGTCATATAAATAAAAGATGTATGCATCTCTATATAGAACACTTTGATATTATTGAAGAATATAGTTGATTGTTTTCCAGACGGAATTCAATACATGGAAAAATGACTAGGAAGAATCCAGATTATTTAAAACTTTTCTTAGTCTCATCGAGACCTATTTGTAGCCCGTTAATATGAAATCTAACAGACTCCTATAGTTGGATCAAATCTCTCGTTAGTTTAAATCTAATCTCTATAGTTGCGTTAAAATCTTTTTTTTTAATATTCTTATTGACGTCTTTTTAGTTGTTATCAAGAATTTATTTGATTGTTTTGCTTATTCTAAAACATGAATAAGTTAAAATGATGATAACTAATAACATAATATTCGAAGAAACTCTAATTGAGGAAATCGTTGAGCTAATTCTCGATTATTAAATGATCGAAAACCACCATTGACATAATAATTTTCAAGTTTTAATTCTTTAACTGAATTAAATATAATAGGAAAATGTTTTCCTTGTAAATGACGAACACTAATATCTTTTATTGAAAGTTGATAAAGTTGAAAAATAAATGTATTTGATGATGGAATAAAACCAATAAATGAAGGATTATCAATAATTAAATGATGAATAAAAAGAGTATTATTAAAAAAATCTATTGGAATTTTTGGATTTGTATTATATAATTTTAATTGATAACAATTCAATTTTGAAAGAGCACCATTCGCATAGATTAATAGTGGTGAATTAAGAAATGATATAATAAGTTGTTCCTGAGAATCTGATAGACTTAATTCTTCAAATATACCTGTTTGAGTTTGTTGAATATTAACAAATGCAATAACATTACGATTATTTGTTTTATGAGTTTTTTTAACAGTTTGACTTTCAAAATGAATAAAACGAAATGCTTTTGTTGGTATAGATGGATAATTTGCAAATGTTAATGTACGAAAACGATAATAAAAATATTTGAATTGATCAAATGTTGTTAATTTTGTTTCATTTATATAATCACTTGAATATGTACAAAATAAATCTTGATTTAATAATGATCGTGGTTTAGATAAATAATTCGTATCAATTAATGCAAAAAGGGGAAAATTTGTGCATTTACACATATTTAAAAATTCACATTCATCACCATTAGCATTTATTGACCATAAAAAGATGTTAAGAGATAATATTAGAAAGAAAAAATTGAAAAACATTACAATCGTATAATCATTATCAATTACTATGAATTTATATTTCTGAAATACAAGACAAGAAAAGAAATAGATGAAAACAATATGCCATTATTCATAAACAGCATGACTTCTTATTGACAGCCAAGAAGTTATTAAGAAGAAATAGTGTGCTATACATCATAGGACTAACATAAACAAATGAATGGATTGGTAGAAAGAAGAATTCTATCTTCCTAAATCTTACCAGGCACACTATTATACTTCATTTCTTTGGAAATCTAGGCGTGCAAAGTCTTTCTCACTATGATTATTTGCCCATTTTCACTTGGAGAAGAAAAAGATATGAAAGCATGCATCTAACCATATTCTTGATTCTTTTCTGCGTTGAGCACATTTTCTTCTCGTTGCCTGTTTCGTAATCATCTTCGTGTTGCGGCATACTCTCTCTCACTCTTTTTTTCTTTTCCTCTAGTAGTTGTTCTCTTTCTTTCTTCCTTTCTTCTTTTTGCTAATACTGGTTCACTGGAAAATGTTAATGTTGAACATGGTCGTCGTCGTCGCTGTTGTTGATTGTAAAAGAGAGAATTGACTAACTCTCGGTTACTTGCTCGTTCAGTTCTACGGCGCTTATTTGACGCACGTATGCTTGAGAGACACTTGCACTTTTTCTTCTATGTTTATGTTCTGTTTGAACGGCAAAGACTTGAAAGAATCATCATTATATTGGTCTGCTCTTTATTGCATCACGCACGACTTATAACACAACATTTTCTTTTTCTTTTCTTTACTTGAAAGACAGCTTTGTTCAAAGAACACTTTTTAACGTTCAACTGAAATGTTTAAGTTTGTAACGATAAAATTATTTCTTCTTGATTTTAACTTACATGCCATTATCATGGGAAATAAATGAATAAATATAATCTTTTTGATGAAGACAGGACATGTGAATCTCACAAGATTAGTTGAAAATTTTGACACTAGTAATAAATTAGATTTTAATAACAATCCATTCTGAATTTTATACGTTCAGATGAGCATAAAAAAATCAAATCACATTGTTGCCTGAGGAGAAAAAAGATGAGATTAGAAGAATCTTATTTTATCATGTACTAAGTAATGGCTTCTTCGACGAGTTTTGTATAATTGATTTTTATCTTTATGGAGTAAAAAAAATATTTATTTACAAAAAAATTTTTATTATTTCCTGGATTTATTTAGTCGGAAATGCTAAAAAAATATAACATTAATATACAAAATAAATATAGATACTTGATGTAATCCTAATATTAAATTGAATAGATAATTTATACCTTGTTAGAAATGGAATTTTATTGTCAAATATTTCTCCTTTTTTCATTGATTATTAAATTCTGATGAAATCCTTTATGTATATGTATCAGATTTAGGTAGATTACGGGTTGTCAAAGGATAAATAAGATTAATTAATAAACATGAAGATGATCATTATGATATTTTCTTAGTATATGCCATTTTTAGATTAGATACAGATAGTGAAGAAAGATGCTATTCATTTTTCACTTATAACAATATTAAACAACTGATTAGATCACTAGAAAAAAACTGTTTCTATTGAAAGGTTTCTCACTTGATATGTTGTATATACAATGTTCGACATCAACAGTGATGTGCGTTTATTTTCATCATATTGCATATAAATCATAACTAACAAAAATCATTCTATCGTTGAAATGTTAATTGATAAAACAAAAAGTAGTATTAAGTTAATGCTTCTTCTCTTTGAACTTCTTTTCAATGGATAATCCCAAGATCAGAAATACTGTATTATCTATTTCGAGTTTTCCTATTTTGTATAGATATTATCATCAATTTATCTTTTACGAAGTCAAGGCTATTTTGTCGCATTAGAGAATTCGAGTAATCTACAGATAATCAATATTATCCAACATTAAGTTTCCATTAGTTAAATTAACAGTTCCATTCTATGACAGAGAATTAAATTATCTTGTACAACTCTCATTATTGACCTTGACACATTGTTAAACTCAAATTCTATTGCTAGATTCTCAATTAAAATTGAGTGACTTTTCACTGAAATTTCATTTGATACTATTCGCCTTCAAACATACCTACGTCGCTCTAATCAGTAGTTTAACTATGATTAATTTCTCTTTTCATACTTCCTCATGTACTATCAAGCGTCTGAAACATATAACTGAGATAAAAACTAAAAAACTAAACATATAATTTTATGAAACTGTTCAAATCTGCAATTATTAGAAGAGTAATATTGTTATCATATTCTAGCATACATCAAAAACAAAATTCTGACATGAACATTTCCGTTCGACTCTTGAACATGTGAAAAATTCACATGAATGACTCAATCAGTAGCTATATACAATGTTCAGAGTGATATTCTATTGTTTAATTAGACAAGATAATGGTTGTTTATTCAAAAAATTTATGAAAATATTTGGTTATTTTCAAGAATAAGATTGCCATGGAGTCATCTATACAGTATACTTTTATTAGATCTATATGGTTGGTGATCAGAAATAACCAACGAAAACATCAGAATGATGTTATAGGTAATAGTACAAAATATTCTGCTGCCATTTTATTGTTGATTGATAAACTGATCTTTCGATAGTAGTCTAACCAAGAGATTGTGAATAGTAGAACAGTGTTCTATGACGTTGAAGATCATCCATACAATATAGTGTTAATGATAGTAATTATTATGTTTTTCTTTGATCCGATAGTGGGATATCACCTGATGTTGCCCACCATTAGCTACACCATTATCTTTTGGTGAATCTATTGATCAATATTTCTGTATTATTGTGTAGTTTTACTACATTCTATCATAATCAGTTTAGAGTTATCATATAATGAATGTAAAAGATAATAGCACACCTTTTTCTTTCTTCTTTTACAAAAAAGTAACAACATGTATATGCATGTCTACTTCATTATAAAGACCAATAAGAAAAAAGAAATAAATTGTAAAAACCTTCTAAAATATTTGTTGTGAAGCTTGTTTATAGAAATACAATTAAGATTCAACAAATTTTTCATACATATATCGATAGAAACAAATTGATTCTTTCTCGAGAAATGTATGTTTGCCAGTTATAGTTGAAAAAAACATTATGCATGACTTCTATAGAGTGTTTTTCTTTCGTCGCCACAGTTCTTCATCCATCAGTACATAACGACAGAACAAAGCAAAAACTCAAAACAACAACAATATCTTTTACATGATTTATAATTTCATTCATATTCAAACAACATGATTTTAATTATTAGTATTTCATTATTAATTCTTCTTGTTCTATGGATTCTATCTCAAACTAATTTATGTGATTGGTTATGTTCAATAATTGTGAGTAGTGCAAAACGATATCGTTGTCAACATCGGCCTAAACGTATTATTTTAATTCGACATGGTGAAAGTCAAGGTAATCAAGATTCAAGAATTTATTCAACAATACCTGATCATGCTATTGGTCTAACTGAAAAAGGACAAGAACAAGCACGTCATTGTGGAAATCAACTAAAAAAACTTATTGGAATAAATGAGACACTAATTTGTTATTTTAGTCCATTTCGACGTTCAAAAGAAACATGTGAATTAATATGTGAAGCATTTTCAGAAGAGAAAATTTTAAAAATACGAGAAGATCCACGTATCAGAGAACAAGAATGGTAAATAATAAATGCATAGAATCATTGTTTAAGCTTAAGGATTGGTTTCTTTTTGTGTTTTTCATAGGGGAAATTTTCAAGATCTAGCAAAACGTGAAATAACAGTGGCTGAAAGACAAAAAATTGGACGATTCTTTTATCGATTTGGAAATGGTGAATCCGGTGCTGATGTATATGATCGTGTTAGTTTATTTATGGATAGTTTATTTCGTGAAATGGATAGTAATTTAATGCCAAATACTAATATATTAATTGTTAGTCATGGTTTATTTATGAGATTATTTTTAATGCGTTTTTATCGTTGGTCAGTAGAAAGATTTCATACATTAGAAAATTTTAATAATTGTGGTTATTGTATTTTGGAAAGAGATGATCAAGATGGAAGTTTTATACTTAAAACAGAGTTGAAAATTTCATCTGAACAAGAACTACTTAAAAGAAAAGATTCAAAAGAAAAATTAAATGAGCAAAATTTAAATGAAGAAATTAATTCAATTCTACATACGATAAAAACCGAAAATGATAAAAAAAAAGCATGATTAGAAAAAAAAAATTCTTTTTTCTGTAGATGTTTTTTAAGTTAGAAAAATAAACTTGTTTACAGAAAAGTCTGCTCGAACGAAAAACAGTAAGTAACGTAAAGTCTTGTATCTGTACAGCGTTTCCTACATATTACGTGGCAAATAATTTTTTCACAGCAAATTGTTATTTGGTTTAGTTTAATAGACAGCAGTAAAAATAAAAAGCAATCATGATTTGTGAATACAGGAGTAATTAGCGATGCAAAGATTTCTGGACAAATGTCCAAAAATGACTTCTTAACACTCGAACAATAGTTTTACTTTCGATTTATCATAAAAAAATTCCAGAAGAAAGCGACCGTGGACAGAACGGTTGCAATCTCACTTACTCGTACTTTTGGTTGGTGAGTTTACGATATTGTTTCTGACGAAGTTTGAAATAAGCATAGTCATGACTAAAGTTTTTCAATTTTTTTTGCATCATTTCTTTCGAGTTGAGTTTTGATTAGGTTGTTCATTGAAAAGTTCTTTTTTTATCGTGTCTCTTCGGATGGAATACAGTTTTGATGAAAATGGTGAACTAAAAACAAATATTAGTCTTAGAAAATTTTTAAGAAGTGAATGATAACTTTTCAGAATACATCGCAGACGTTGACTTTGTTCTTGTTTTGTCGAAAAATGTATTTTATTTACGTCTTGTGTGTATTGGACTAGTATTAATCGCCAAATAAATGTTTTACAGAGTTGCAAAGCTTATTTAACATGATTCTAAAGAGTACTTGCGCGCACTATGAATTTATTAGATAAAATTCTTTTTCTTTCACGTATGTACTTTTCAGATTTTACTCTTTCAGACAACACAAACCAATCCGAATTGATAGAATTTTCCATTGCTAAGAAATCAATATTAATTTTTTTTCAAAGACTTTTACATGGCTCTACTCAAAAGGACTATATGTCATCAAAAGTACCTAAGTTTGATTGACTATTTACAATTCTAAAAGAACAAGGCAGACGATTAACCTCAAGGTGATAGTGTGTAAACCAATTCTTTTAGAATAACTCCAGTCATCGATGGAACCTCGATGTAGTATTTCCGACCAGATTGTCTGCGATGTTTTCCGTGATTTCCGACTAGCTTCTTGTTCTTTTTCATCTAAGACTACCGGAAGTCAATGGATAAATACGAAAACATTCAGTGCCGGAACTTTCCATCTAAGATGTGTCAATAGTGAGCATTTTCTATCAAAAACATTGCTTATTTTGTGTTATTTCTACTGGTTTCATCGAAATCTACTTATTTTGGAAGTCTAGAATCATCAACAGAAGCAGAAATTTTTTTCGATGAACATCGAAAAAAAACCTTGCCCAAATTCTATTATGGGTCATGAACGATCTTTCTCACGATCGTTTTGCACATCTTTAGTAAGCATACGATGGAATTAGTTTTCACTTGGATATCTATCAATGAATAATAGTTTGAGAAGGAATATTCGTAATGACCAAACTTTATTTATCAGAACTAGACCATGATTTCAATATTGGGTAATATTTCAAAGAATAATTTATCTCTTAAGTTGATTAGAAGAAATGTTCCTTATTATTATTATTTGGAAATATCATTGCAACAAAATGTATTCCCTGATTTCTTTAGATATTCAAATCAAAACTAAATTAGATGTTTTTCAAAATAAAGTCTATATTAATATCAAATCTGTTTCATTGTTGAACCAAACAAAATATTGAGGTTATCAATAAACTTCTCGCCTACATGCAACATTGAATTTTTTTCAATCTATCTGTTATTAATCAGGCAGTTATATACAAAAGAAAAATTATCAATTCTATCCAACACACTCATTGTCATACATTTCTTTATATAATAGAATTCCTTGAGAACGACTTTTTTCTCGATTTTCGTTTCTTGTTTCCGTAATGTTTTGATAGTTCTTATAATACTTTTATTCCTCCTATTTGAAAAAAACGCTCATTACTAGAGAGTAGCCTCTGTCATCATCACACTTTGCGCAAAATGAAATGATCTGGAGTTGAAAATAAAATTATCATTGAAAGTAAGTTTTAGTAAAATAAATCAAGTATTATTTATACATCAAAATTTATCAATCTTAAATTAGGAGAATTATTTTTTCCATCAATTGAACAATTGAAAAGTAAAAAAAAACAATACTAACACATTAACAACACCGATGTCAAAGCGAAATCATTCAAGCGAAGAAAATAATAATAATGTTATATGGTGGAATAATGTGAATCATAGTTCTTTCGAAGATGAAATTTAGATTATAATTCAATGAATAATGAATGAACTGGTCGAAATTTAATTGATAAGTATTTGTTATGTGTTTTTTAATTAATGAAAAACTTCGAAATCTATTTCTCAAGAATGTAGCATCGGCTTGTCTGCGACAAAGAGCAAAGTTTGTAGATTATATATGTAAAACAAAACAAAACGATTTTTGGAAATGTCTATATTTCAATATAGCTCCGGTTTCCAATTCACGTGAAGGAAAATCGCTTCCACAGGATATTCATACATAGGAACACTAAGTTAAATTCACTATTCATAAATAATTTTTCAAATTACTGAACACTTTGATATATCTTCTTTTAAAAAAAATTTCTTTTACATATCTTATTTGAAAATACAAATTAATATTTAAATAATGTAATTTAATTTTTAAAAAAAGGAATCATGGAAGATATTATTTTATTGCACTGTGAAAGTAAAAAAAAGAATGAACTAGAAAAAAGATAATCATCGTGAAAGGAGAAGATTGCTATTGTTCATAGTCTAAACAAAAATTAATTAATAAAAACAAACAATAATTTTAAAAAATTACTTGTTCAATTTTCATCATCTCATCGATTAATCTATTTAATTCTTGTTCATCAAGTTCAAGTAAAATATCTTTTGAATTTTTTTCATTTGTTAATTCTAATTGAAGATTAACAAGTGGTAAACGACATTTAAATAAATGTTCATCATGAAGAGCAATCTAGAAGAGAAGGATAAAAATGAAACAAGATGAAATAATATTTAATTTTTTTCTTATTTTACTCGAATATTCCAATCAAAATTTTTTAAACGATATTCATCCATGTATTGACTAGCCTGATAAAAATGATATCGTTCGATATCATGTCGATAATCATTTACAAAATTTATATAAACTTTTTGTAAATGTTGAGGTAAATCATTTGTTGTAATCTAAAAAGAAGAAAGAAAGAATTAAGAATTGTATTAAAAAATAATAACTATATAATACTTTGTTTGATGATGGATTTGTACTTCGAAGAAGTTCTTCAAGTTGTATACGAATTTTTGAATCGACATTGATTGTTTGTTTTGTTGATGGAAGACGATGAAAATATTCATCAAGAATTTGTCGTAGGAACTAAATAAAAAACAAAATAAGGAATCTTTTTGTTTTGTAAAATTTAATCAACAATTACTTGAATGAAATTATTTTCTGAAAGTGAAGCTAAATCTTTTATAGTTTCCATTGTATGTTAAATAAAATATAAATAAAAGTTTTTTGAAAATATAGATTTGAGAAAAGATATTGATTGGATGATAGATGTCATGTTTGTTTTTATTAGATTGGTTAAAATAATGAATCAGTAAAAATTATTCTTCTACTTCATTGATTATGTGATGTGAAGTTCATTGAAATATGCCTTCGTTTATGGTCGTTAACAAATGACAGAAAAAAGATTTCTATTTTTATTAATTTGAAGAGTTTTTTTTTTTTTTTGTATAATTATATTTTCTATTGACAACTCTGTATATAGTATGGATTATTCATCAAAATAAATGCAAGTGGCTACTTTAACATACGGTAAAATCGTAAACAACGTGTAACATGTCATTTTAACTCATTATTCTAATGAATTTGTTTCATATTATGAATGGATATTTTTAATTGAATACTTAAAACATTTTCTTATGCGAAATTTTGTTTTTAAATAAATATAATTGTATTGTGAACTGTGAAATATGACTCGACAAATCCGAGATTCTGCTAAACAAGCATTACTTGTTATAAACATAAGTTACTTTGTCTTATGATTTCAAAGTAGCTTGTATAATACAGGTAACATTTTGTCATAAGTGTCTTTAGTTTATCATGTTTGATTATATTAAATGTAGAGTTTCCTTCAAATAAAAAACTATTTTACGAATATGATAATGTCTTGAAAAGTTAATAAAATCAAAATATTTATTTTTTAGATTTGCCTAGTCGATAACAACAAATGCTTTCTTTCTTATTTATTGTTTGTTGTTTATTCTCATTTGTTAATTGTCGTATACATAATCTTGATATAATTGTAAGTAAATAATAAGTCTCTGTTTCTTTTTTATTATTCACTATATACAATATTTAAAATTATAGGATGACAATCGTCAACAAATTTTATTGAGTACATTTGGTTTTCTTCGTGGTGGTACAATGAATATCAATGTTACAGATTTTACTTTTGATAAAGCAGGTGTTGGTAAAGATAGTTTGGTTAGTACAAAAGAAAGAATAACTAAATCATTTCAAATTTTTGATTGTTTTTTCCCTATAGTTTGGATTTAGTATTGCTAAAGCAAAGAATAGTGGTATTGCTGAATCTTTGGTAATAATAAAAAATTCGAAAGGTTCTTTATTTTCTTTCTTTTTTTTTTTTGTATATGAAAATTTATTAGCAAAGTCATACAAGTCGTTCATGTTTCTTTTATCAAACTGAACAAACAAATAATATACCACATGTGTATTTTATGATGGATCATAAATCAGAAAAACCTAAGTAAATAGTTTTAATATTATATTACTGTTAAGCAAGATTAATTTTTATAGAATAACGATTATAAGACGTTCAGCAGATTTTGAACTTCTTGATATTGATTATGAAATACAATCAGACACAATTCAATCAAATATAAGTAAGTCGAGTAAAAATATATTGACAATTTATTTATTTAATGAATATTAAATAGATAAAACGTTAAAATCAAATGTTACAATAACATCACGTCAGAATATGGAAAAAAATGAAACACTTATAAGTGAAATTCCTATAAAACGAATTGATGGAACATTACATCGATTTCGTTTTCAAGTAGAAAAT